AGGATGTGTGTGTGTGTGTGTGTGTGTGTGTGTGTGTGTGTGTGTGTGTGTGTGTGTGTAATGAATGCACAGCCGCAATTTTCGACAGATTTGCACCAAAATTTACATGCACATGCTCCAAGTTAGCGGGAAGGCCAAGTCCGATTTTGCATTTCCCAACTCCCATCGATAGTGGAAATAATCGATTTTTTCATGCTTCTACGGCAGTTTTCATGTAGTTTGCGGCTATTTTCTACTGGCCAGAGTGAGAGCCTATAGCTGGCTGCCACGAATAGGCAGGAAGATTCTATTGGCCAGTGTGAGAGACAACAGCTAACTGACACGAATGTTAACTAGCATGCTAGCATGCAAAAATATTGATAGCTGCATTCGTCACAGGTGGGAAAAATTTAAATCTGCATGGCACTTTACTCCAATTGGCTCATTCGCTTGCTTAAACTCAACATTGATTCTGATTCCGCAGAACTGGGTTGGATGTGAAAAAGTATTTGTTGTTAACATTCATTTTCATTTGGTTTTTCCAGTTACGAGTCCTTTTTTAAAGCTGATCTTTTTGTGTTCATTTTGTTTAGTTCTTTTTTCGTAACAGATTTAATGTTTAGTATAGAGCTTAGACAAAATTCACATTGTGAGATAGGCAAGAAGTAAGGCATGTAGCAACATCAGCACGGCAAAGGGCACTCCTTTAAAGGCAAGGAAGAGCAAAAATATTTTAAGTCAAGTGATAGCGATTGCTGTATGAGTTGTACGATTTTTGACTCAAGCCCGGGCAATGCCGGACCATACTACTAGTACTAACTAAAGAACTAAAAATAACAAAAGAGAAAATTCTGTTAGTTAAATGGTATATGTCATATCACATTGTTTTACATGTGATCAGTAGTCAACATCCAGTCATCTGACTCTTTACTCTACACTCTATTTATCCAATAACCAACATAAGCAAATTTGCCAAACCCATTACAGTATTTTTTAATCAGTATCACTCCAAGCAAGGCAGTACAGCCACTAGCATGCAAGGGGTTACAGGGTATGGAAGAATTAGGAACAGAAACTTGAGTAATAAGTAGAAAGGGAAAAGAGCAGTTAGAGGAACAGCAGATAGCAATTGATATTGCATTTAAATTTTTGCAGATTATAGTTGGCTTCTAGCTAGCTCAACTTTAAATTGATGAGATCTCTCTGCCAGTCTAGTATTGCACTTAAATTCATAAAGTTAGGTCCCATAGAGAAGAGCTCATCCGAACAGTTACCATGGAAGTATTTATAAAAAAGATACAGAGAAGCAATGTAATGGCGGTTGGCAAGTAACTGAAGCCAAGCCACCAGACCAGGACCAATAATATTACTGATTCTTCTTTGGATCTTATCAAGGAGATCAAGGTAAATAGCAGAGGCATCGGACCATATACAGCAGCAAAATACTAAGTATGGACGGATGATAGAGTTATAGATATGCAAAATAGATTCTAGAGAGAAAAATATTCTTGGCTGACACAGTGAACCAACTTTCTTAGCAACTGATCTAGCAATGGATATAATATATTCGATATAATAAAGAAGACAAAAAAAAAACAGAAATTAAGTTCATAAAGTCTAGGTACTCAAGCAAAGAGCTCATCCGAACAGTTACCATGGAAGTATTTATAAAAAAGGTACAGAGAAGCAATGCAACAGCGGTTGGCAAGTGACTGAAGCCAAGCCACCAGATCAGGTCCAATAATATTTCTGATTCTCTTTTGATCTTATCAAGGAGATCAAAGTAAATAGCAGGGGCACCAGACCATATACAGCAGCAAAATACTAAGTATGGATGGATGGTAGACTTATAGATATGCAAAACAGATTCCAGAGAGAAAAATATTCTCAGCCAACGCAGTGAACCAACTTTCTTAGCAACTGATCAATGGATCCAATATATTCTATATAATAAAGAAGACAAAAAACAAAACAGAAATTCGAACCAATGTATAGTGAAGAAAGTGAAAATAATAGAATTCAAAAACATAAATGACTTAATAAACAAAAGGAATGAAATTATTTTGAACAAACAACAAAGTGATGCATTACTTTTGAATATTGCTGCCATATATGGCCCAGTGTTCTTCTTGTATATCTAGAGATTCTTGATTAAATGCAAAGAAGAATCAACAATATTATTGGTCCTGACCTGGCTTTTTGACTTCAGTCACTTTCCCACTGCCATAATGTAGCTTTCTTGTGCCTTTTCTATAAACATTTTCATGATGATTCTTTAAATAAACTCTTTGCTATGTTACCAAGACTTTATTAATTTAGTGCAGCCCTAAATTGATGGCAAGTTCTCACCAATTCACAGATAAATTGGCTAGTTCTATGCTAACAGTTTCTTTTCTTGCACTTCCCACTTTTTGAACTCTTTTCCGGCTCTATGGTTTCCAACCAACTTTAATCTCCAAAAATCCAAATGCAATCCTTATCTAATGTCTTCTTGATTACTCTTCTACTGTTCTTACACCTTAATAATATTTCTCTTTTTTCTTATTCTTTCACACTCAGTAACCTCTTTGTGTCTTTACTGCCTTGCATGGGGTCATATGATTAAAAAAACCAGATCTCAAAATTGCCCAAAATGAACAAGTACCCATTTTTAAAAAATGCTATGCATGAAAAATGCTGTAAATGGGTAACTAAATAAAATGTTATATTTTTATGTGTATGTACAGCAAAACATTGATTTAGCATTACTCAATTAAAGTTATATTGGATTTAAGGAATATCAAATTTATGGAATATCAGATTTAGGGAATATCATATATAAGTAATACTGGATTTAAAGAATATCAGATTTAAGAAACCACTTGTGGATCACATGGGCCCTAACAATAACAGTTTCTTTCATCTTTGCTACTCTACAGATTTAAGAAAGTAAAAAGTGAGAGACTGTAAACAGGGGGATGCAAGTTTGATTCCTGCTGAAGAACACATCTTTTTCTTTAATAAGATTTCTCATATATTCAGGCCAGTAGATGAAAATAAATAAATATACTGTTTAATAAATAAATATAGCATCTATTCAAATATGGCTATCCACTAAAAATAATGTTCAAGTAATAAAATCTATTAGCCTCATAATTAAAAATCAATCACTTCTTTAGAAAACTGTAAAGTATATTGGATAAACAATTTCAAATTGGCAACTTAGACAGGTATTGAAAAACTCAACTGGGTTTTAAAAGCCAGTTTGACAACCTTGTTAGCATAGTACTTGTGAAAACTGATAGGATTATTTACATATGAAATTTTTGAAATTTTCTATATCTCTATTATGGGTACAAAGTGCAGCTTATATCTACAACACCACACCCAAAAATTATTTCAATATGAGCAAGGAAAGGTATGGAAAATTGTTTTATTTGCTATTTTATACAGTTTTACGCAACATTGGTCATTTGTGTGCTGTCTTGTGTTTAACAAAATGATATACATTAAATGTCATTATCTGCAGGATTTTGGTTCTGTTTTATGAATTTATCAGATTTAAGTATACACATTGTTCCCCCACCCCATAATTAATTCTTTAAATCAAGGCTTTACTGTATCTATGTATGATTCAGTATGCATGACACCAGAGCTGGTGCAAACTACACCGAAACACTCCCTCCAACCAGGAGAAGCTTGATTGAGGTATCCTGGCAATGCTTTGTAACCTTTGCTATCTTATCAATATTTGCTATTTTTCTACCTACATTTACATACATTATAAATTAAACTAAGCCCAACTGATTATTAAAGGATGAACAATTTTCACAAATTTTGACATCATTCTGGGGTCTTTTTTTGTTCCCATTTGTTTATCTGGAAAAATAAAAGATATAAACTTCACTATTTTTTATCCATAATGTTCAATGTGTTAAAACTCTTTAACAAGAAAAATCTCAAGTTTATGTTACAAATTGCCACTAAATATTGTTGATTTATTTAAGATGGAATGATCTATTATGACATGTCTCTAATTTGTATTTCGATACATTGAATTTATTTTCAATTTTTCTAGTTGAATTGTTCATTTGTATTGCATATGAACCATTATTGTACATAATTAGGTTACAATAAAATTTGTATTTTATATGAATATGACTTTATGAAAATTGAGATGTAATAGAGTCCAGAGGGGGGGCATATCATAAATTCGGGAGTTATCATAGATGTGAAGAGGGGAAACATGAGACACTTGCACCAGCCTTGCATAACATCACTATTACAATAATAACCTGTAGCTTTTCCCTTTGCTTGAATAACAATGAGTGCTATAGCATAGAGTCTTTGAGGTACTGCATTCATTATAGGAACATATCTATATACAAGTATGTTTTAGAGCTGACCATAATGGCTGCTGAGAATTAAGAAGTGATGCAGTATATCTTATACCTACTCAGTGAGGTTTAAATGCAGTGAGTATGGGGGTGAGTAGAGTATTCAGAAGTAAGACTATTTCCTCATTATCTATTAGGTCACACGTCATCTGGCTGAATCTCTTAACAAGAAGTGGGGGGAGAGTGAAATCATTCAGTATATTGCTGAATTCAATTTGGGCTGCACTTAAGTTTATTGATAATCATAATTTCTTTTTTAATTTCATTTTTCTTTCTATTCATCTTGTCAAAAAAATAAATGAGAACTCTCCAAACTTGAAAGTTAAGAAAATGATCCAGTTTGTTTCTTAGCAATGAAAGCATGATTGACTGGAACTGTAATTAATAAAGTGATTGGAAGAAAATTTTCTTGGTTGTTGTAAACAGTTTACTCTCAAGATATGGCATACATAATCCAGAGATAAGGTTGTGTAATGTAAACATGAAAATCAAACTATAAGAGCAATATATCTTGCAAATCTCCATTTTGTATTTTCTAGGTCAAGAAGTAAAAATGACAGCATTTGTTATTGCTCTAAATTGTATGTTCTGTGTTATCATTTTACTAATGTTTCCCTCAATGCTCTCATTTAAGCTGATAAGGCTTACAGCCATATCACATTGAAACACTGGTTCTCATATAATCACCAAAGTTAAGCAACGTTGAACCTGGTCAGTACCTAGATAGGTAACTCCTTGGGAATACCAGATGCTGTAAACTTGGATGTGTGGATGGTATAGTTTATGGCCATATCAACTCAAAACATTGCTTCCTGTACAATCATCAAAGTTAAGCAACTTCAAGTTTGGTCGCCACATAGATGTGTGACTGCTTGGAAATGCCAGATACTATAAACTTGGATGTGTGGGTGGTATAGCTTATGGCCATATCACATTTAAAACACCAGTTCACATACAGTCACTAAAGTTAAGCAACATCAAACCTGGTCAGTATCTAGATAGATGAATGCTTGAGAATACATAGCAGAAGCACAGGACTAGAAGTGGCAACAATATTCAATGCATGGATGAATGGTAGATTATAAATGTGTAAGAAAGATTTTGGTAAGATAAATTGTCTTGCATGTCACAGTGAACCAACTTTCCTAGCAGTAGATCTAGCAATTTATTCAATATAATATTTCCACTTCATATCAGAAGAAAAAATATTAGCCTGAGCAGTCACAGGAAGTCACTGGAAGTCAGCATCAGCCATGATGATGGAAGGAAAAAAAGGTCCTCTAAGATCATTAAACAAGAGCAGTTTCATTTTGAAGGCATTAAAATTTACTAGCCATTTCTTGCCCAGTTAACAGTAAATTGTAGGTCATTTTTAGACCAACAGCCAATTTGACTTAATTGAACCAATCGGACTTACCATTAAGACAGGAGTAAACAGTTGTATCATCAGTATAGATACCAAGTTGAGAACTGATCTCATCAAGAATAACATTGATAAAAATTAGGAACAATGTATGTCCAATGATAAAGTGCTGGGGTCACCTGCATTAAAGCAAAGAAATCTAGAAGAGTGCCCAATTTAACAAGAAAGATTGTATCAGATCAAAACTTTGTCCAGAAATGCCATAACTTTTCAACTTGTGAAGAAGATCAGTATGCCAAACCCTGTCAAATGTCTTCGAGATATCCACAGCAACAGACTAAGCTTCACCATTCTTATCTAAGGCTTGATAGACTCTTTCAGCAATAACTGTTAATACATCAGAATTTACCTAGAGATGCAAAAGCCATATTGATTATCTGAAAGAAGGCTCTGCAGTGTGAGATGATTAACCAATTCAGAGTTTCTTAGAGCCACTAGTACTTTGCCAAAAGGAGGTAGAAGGTTAATAGATTGATAGTTGGAAGGAACAGATGGTTTTGCCTGAGCTCTTAAAGACTGGAAATACAGAAGATGATTTTCAGCAAACAGGGAAGCAAGGAGCAATTATATAGGTTTTATGTTGTGAAGCTTAATAGAAGTTTTCTGACAGAAGAGAATTATTATCATATTATGATTTTGCATGTTCCTTTGTTAGTTCATTAATTAGTTGTGAGTGAATGAATTTCAAATTCTATTAGTTTTCACCATTAAAAATGAAGTTAGGTTCAAGAAATTCAATTTTCATGCTGATGTGTATGTATGTGTATATATATGTGTAAAAAAGGAGTTTATTTCCATCAATTTATTTACAGTTTTGCTTTAATAAATTTATTTTTGTCATGGCTCCTTATTTACCCCCCACCCACCATGCACTTTTCATTTTTGCCATTTATGATTATTTTTTGTGTGATTGTCTTTTTTTCAACAAATATATATATATATATATATATATATATATATATATATATATATATATATGAATAAAAAAGACAAGAGGAAAAATTAATACTTAGCTAACCTTTTTCTTCTTGTCTTTTTTATTCATTTTGTCTCTTCTACAGATACACTTCATCTGCGAATATTTACCTTTATATATATATATATATATATATATATATATATATATATATTGTCATCTGCAGGCAGACTGTTTTGCTATATCACAGCTCTTCAGTGTGGCTAGACATCTGATTCCTCCAAACTGGGATTGAAACCTGACCAAGTTAACATCAGTCAGAGATCCTATCCCTAGGCTATTGTCACACGACAGAGAGAAAGAGAAATTTTAATGTTTTCTATACAAAATATGCCAGTGGCCTGGAGAACTCAATTCGTACTTGATGAGTAATGCATTAATAGCAGTAGAAACCACTGTTTTCATGTAAGAATGTGTTTGAGAATTGATTTTCTTAAACAAAACTTAATTTTTAATGGTGAAAGCTAATTGAATTTCACAGCTCTTATTCAGTGGTTTATATAAGATATTTAACACATGGTTGGTCAATTTTAATCCAACCTTAACTGAAATCCATGCTACTTGCTTTGATTTCCCAATCATTACAAATTCTGTTGGTGTGGGTTTGTTTCCCAACCAATAATTTATAGAAAAAAGACTTTTTATAATACATTGTGTTAGCGAAAGAAACCCTCTGTGAAAGAGAGAAAAAGGAGAATGTACCACAATGTAATGATGCCATTATTATTTATGTCAGGGTTTTGTTGCATAGTCATCATAGAAAAAATTCCTTTTATTGTTTATTTATTTTAAATGCACCATTTTCATCTGTTTTGGTTGGCGTTTTTAAGTTTACAAATTTTCCATTTCACTGACGCAGACATTAAACATATTATCACCTCCTTTATCTTCTTTGTCTTTCTTTTTCTCGTTGAAACCAAACATTACCATACATTTAATATTGCTGCCACATCTGGTCTGGTGCTTCTACTATGTATTTAGAGATTCTTGACAAAATCCAAAGAAGAATCTGCAATGTTACTAGTTCTGATCTGGCTCCTCAGCTTCAGTCACTTTCCCACCACCATCACCACCATAACATAAATTCTCTGTACCATTTCTAAAATTATGTACATAGTAATTGTTCTGATGGACTTTCTTCTTTGGTACCTAGACTTTATTAATTTAAGCATATATATTGCTGATACCTCCTGACAAGTCAACTGAATGATTACAAAAAGATTCATCTACCAAAGTCTGGAGTTGCATTTCGTCAATTTGTCGGCAGTACTTCTCCGCCGTAATCGTTTCGCCCGGATTCAAGAAGCTGTGATGGATGAGACCGGTCGCAGACTACCAAACAGTCACCATAACCTTTTTTCGGCTTCGGGAAGTGTTGTGGAGCTTCTCCGGCATCCAACCACTGTGCCGAACGTCGCCGGTTGTCGTAGAGGATCCACTTCTCATCACACGTCACAATCCGCTCGAGAAATGGGTCGTTTTTGCTGCGCAGAAGGAGCGTAGAAGACACCTTAAAACGACGATTTTTTTTTTATTATCGTTCAATTCATGCGGCACCCATTTATCCAACTTTTTTGACTTCCCTATTTGCTTTAAATGGCGAACGACTGTTGAGTGGTCGACCTCGAGTTCAACAGCAACTTCTCGTGTGGTTTTGCGAGGATCGGCTTCAATTAAGGCTTTCAAATGTTCGTTATCAACCGCAGTCGGCCGGCCGCGACCGTCTTCATCTTCGAGGCTCTCGTCACCATAGCGAAATTTCTTGAACCACCGTTGTGCCATACGTTTCGTTAGTGGTTCCTGGGCCAAACAACAGCTGTCTCGGCAGCTTTTCGGCCTAGTTTGAACTGGAACAAGAAAATCGTGCAGATTTGAATTTTGTCCATGCTGTCGAAAAGCCTGCAAAAAATGAATGAAGAGATTGAGAACGGTAACGAATAACACGATTCGATAGAGCGAAAAACGCGCTTCAAAATGATATATAACATGGCTATATATATATATCAATGAATTAATTCAGAAATCATATATAAAAGTAACATATGTGAGAAAACGACATTATTTTTGCACCAACCTAATATTAATGTATTACTGATATTGAGCAATTTATTGCAAAGACAGTTATAATTCTTATAACTTTATCAAAATAAGTTTATTGAGCTTTATATTTTGGAATTGTATAATTTACCTTTATATCCTTATTTTTCCTTGATAAAATATTCTTTGAAGCTTTAAAATAAAAAGTTATTTCATATTTAGACTTTTTCTTAATATCGTTCTGATCTTTATACTCACTACTGTATACACACACACACACACATATATATATATGTGTGTGTGTGTGTATTTGTGTGTGTATCAATCATCAAATGACAAAAGAATACTTTCTGAGTTGGCAGATTAATAAATTAATCCTTTGAAAATAAATATTTAACATTTTTTAAAACCAATGGGTCATGTTCCCACCGACAAGAAAAAAAACATACATTGTGATCCCCTTTGAAAAGTATTTAAGCAAAGCTTCTAGACCAGACAAGCTAGTAAGAAGATAGAGACAGCAACATATGGCAGCAGTTTATGGTAGCCAGTATGGCTTCAAAGAGATTCCCTTACTCATTCACCTATCTCCCTCACCAAGCTATGTGACACACTCTTCCTCACTAAGCTACATGACATTTACACTCTTCCTCACCAAGCTACGTGACACTTACACTTTCTTCCTCACTTTCTACCTTGCCTCTTTTTCACACTTACATGCAGAGAAATCTCATTTCTTTTCACCTTAACAAACAGCTACAGACAAGGAATTTTAATGAAAGAATTTTAATGCTCATACAAGCTGAGAAAAATTTTGTTATAAAAACACAAAAATATTTTATATTCATATATATGTGTGTGTGTGTGTGTGTCTGTGTGTGTGTGTGTGTGTGTGTGAAAATGTATGTATATAAATATAAAATATATATATATATGAAATTTTTTTTATATATATTTTATATATTATATATACGCAGTACTTATTGGAAAGCGCTCAATATCAGTGATAGAGCTAACATATTTAGTTGGGTTGATATATATAGTGTGTATCAAAAAATACTTTTACAAACTTTAGGAGTGTGTTCCTCACACCAAAACCAAAAAAAAAGTCCATATGTCTGGAAATCCTTCGTTTTTGAGTTATTAACTTTAAAGAAAGTTGATGGTAGATGGTAGATGGTGCTGTTTTGCTATGAAGACTAGGTTACATTTGTCATTCTTGTACATTTTTGACTAGTCTGTTTTCAATGTTTTAGTAGTGAGTTAACTGAGAAGTGTTCCATTTAACAATGGCACAATATTCATATTGTGAGCAGGCAAA